ATATTCCAGGATCAAGGACTGCTCAGGTAAAAACAGAGCAGGGAGGCATATTTCAGAGTGTCAAAGAGGCCAGTATGGCTAGATCAGTATCATCAAAGAAAGGGATGATAGGGAATAAATTCAGAGAACTGTAAAGGATGGGTGCTTTTTAGGTCACTTAGGTTTTCCTTGAGAGGGACAGAAGCCACTGGAAGGATCTGAGTAATGTGTGATCCCACTTAGACTGTAACTGAACTATTTCCCAACGTTAGTAGACCAAGAAACCAGAAGGAGATGGCAATTATCTTCACAAGTGCACAGTAGTAGCCTGGTGTCTTAGTCTTAGAAGTGGTATGTTTTGTCTGGAAGAGTGACTAATCTCAGTACACGAGGAAAGGTGAGGAGAAGGGAATAATGTCAAGGATGATGCTGGCTTTCAGCCTAGACAACTGAAGAGAAGACAGGGGAGTCTATCATGAATTCACTTATTCTCTTTGCAGTTTTGCTTTGATGCCTTTTAAAACTACTTGGAAGATCTATACCTTTTAACTTTACTAATTTTTCCTACACGTTCTTATGTTTCTCTTAGTTCCACAGAAAGAGTTAAGAACTGAGGCTTCCTTGATATTACACACTGTAGATATTTTATTGGCACTGACTGACTTTTTAGTTCTTCAATGTTCTTTTCCATTTTAAACAATACATCTATTTTTCAGGTCTCAGATAGGCTACTGAAAACCTCCTGATGCTCATCAGTGTGGCTACAATTCTCTGCCCAGCCTATCTTCACAGAATCTACAGTTTAAGGCTTTCAAAATATAAATCAAACCAAAAATATACATTTTCAAGTAACATAGTTTGAGTAATAAATCTTACACCAATCATTTCATTTAATCTTTATAACCCTGAAACGTAGGCATTGCCGACACAGGAATGCTTCCATGGATTTGTCTCTGATCACAGCTCTGTAGTAAGTCAGCCAAGATTTGAACACATTATTCCACCCCCAATGTATTATTGTACTCTCTTCACCAAATCTGGTGACTTTAGAAACACCTGCGAATTTTAGGGAGTGCTTGGCCCACCTATGTGCCTGTAGAACACCATTGTCAACAGGGAAAGGACAAGGAGGGTAAACATTTTCAAGTCAATTAAGCTATTTCACAATGAGTAACTGTCCTGATTAAGGCTGAAGTGAAGCCACCTCTACAGTTCTGCTTGGTTTTGCTTTGGTTTGTGTTTTTTTTTCCATTTTCACCACATGTAGTGATGAAGAAACTGAGAGTTCTTTGGACTTTATCATCATATATCTTTGTTTCTGCTCTTTGTATCCCAGGTGGCTACTGCCAAGAGCTGGCTGTAGGAGTCAGATCCCACTGCTTGGGTTTTAGTTGAGACTCTGGACTGCCCTGATGTCAGCAGGAAATACTGCTCAGTGTGAGTGGAGAGCAGATTAACACACGATAATATTTTTCTTTAAATTGATCTGGCAAAAATATGTACACAACATGTAAAACCAATAAATAAAACATTTTAGAAGATTTCTGAATGAACATTTGGTACCAAGTCAAAGAGCAAGAGGTGAAAGCCCCTGGGGCAAGACAAAACTCTAATAAAGGTATTCTTCTAGGTTATGAAAGGTTAAGGTCACACATGTAGTGGATGGACCGTTCTGAACCTACTGCCTGGTCATGTTCTTAGCCTGTCTAGGGACTCCATTGTGTCTCCTTCATAAATGATGTGTCAGAAAACCCCATTTGTAATCCTAGTTTGGTCATGTGAGTGTCAGTGATGTGTATCTAGTTACATATTTCTCTGAGTTTCAGCCACTGTATCTCTGAATACAGGAAATTTCAACGCTGAAGCCTCTTCTATTTCCTCCAGTCATTGGTGTCATATTTGCTTTGTACATATTTGATGGGAGATGTCATTCTGAAATCTGTCTCTTATTGGTTGTTGAATAAAGCACTGTTGGCCAATAGGGATGCAAGATAGGTGGGACTAGGAGTCGAGGAGAATTCTGGAAATGAGGAAGGAGAAACACAGGAAGTCATGATGTAGCTGCCAGAGGGATAAGAAGTCTGGACCCTTTCTTCAGTAAGAGAAATACTTAGATTAACAATTATGGAGTAAATACTTAAGTCAGAGATAGCCAGTAAGAAACCAAACAAACGGCCATCAGCTTCATAATTAATATAGCCTCCTGTGTGTTTATTTGGGACTGATGCAGCTCTGGAACCAGGCTGGCAGGAAGGCTTTACCCAACACATATTTTTATTCTATCCTAGGAAAACTGTAGGCAGGTGTTTCTGCCCTGAAAGCCGCTCCCAAGTAACCACACAGAGGTTTAATACTAATTAGAAATGCTTGGCCAATGGCTCAGGCTTTTCACTAGCTAACCCTTACCTTTAAATGAGCCAAACATTCTTATCTATGCTTTGCCTGCCTTTTCTCAGCACGACATGCCCATCTTGCTTCTCTCTGTATCTGTGACTCATCCAACTCTGTCCTTCTTCCTCCCTGCATCCTCAGTTTGTCTCTCCCACCTAACCTTTTTTCCTGTTCAGCTATTGGCCGGACAGCTTCTTCATGGAACCAATTGCAATGTAAAGGAATATTCCACGGAAGACAAATTATCTTGTACTTACATTGTTGCTGAACCTGTTGCCTTTAACTCTCTGGGCTGCTTCACTTTACAAGGTCTACCAGATGTATTAGGAAGGTTCCGGCACTTCCCCAATGTCTTCCACTCTTAGATCTGTAGGAGGAAGTCTGTATGCAGCCATTAAACATGTGACTTATTAGAGGCGCATACAGATGAGGTAATAAAAGGGCGGTTTACCACACCGCTAACCACACCCACTTTAGGCAGGACTAAAGACGTATACGGCTGGACGTAAAGACGTATACGTACGTAGGCAGAACTACGTCACTAGCCAGGCCCACTTTTGGGCATGGCTAGGGGGCGTTACGGGGGAAGGTATAAAAGACAGCACACAGGAAGTCTTGGTCTCTTTTCCTGGAGTTCGGCTTCCGGTTCGGCAGCTGAAAACTGCTTCGCTCATCTGGGTTACTTGTTTGGTATCTTGTGAGTAATTTCTACAATAAATACTTAGTTTTACTTTCAGTAATTGTGTGTCGCTTATTGTTACAGCATCCGTTGGAGCTTACATTAGATCCACTGGGCATCTGAAGTTGTGGAACTGTCTGCCACCCTATGCCAATTTCATTGGGCCCAGATAAAGTGTAACTTTAATGAGATGGGACCAAAATACAAAAGAAAAATCATCTTTATTTGCTCAGTTTGGCCTGTGTTTCAGCCTGAACTTAGCCACTTACTGCTTGTGTAGCACTGCTGACCCCGGGCCTTTCTCAACCAGGCCTGCCAAGGCCTCCATACCCACTGGGTTTGCATCAGTGATAAAATCTGTCATAGTTGATGTCTATCAGTATATAGTAGGATATGTAGCATGTTCATTGAGAGAGGATATTGAATTACAGATGTTTGAATGTAAAATCACTTAATTTTTTCCTGTTTCAAGCTTAGCTATCAATGCTGTGATAATATAAAGTTCTCATGCCAAAAGCAGGGAAAGGATGTCAAGTACTCTCCAAATGACCAGACACCACTGCAATGTTAGACAGCACAGCTACACTCTGAAGTGAGGTAAAGAGCACATCACACTCCCATACAAGGCCATTCCCTAGCTTCAAACCTGATGTCAGAAGGGGGAACGGAGGAAGGCCTGGAGCTTGAAAGCCCCTGAGGTATTCCAATATCTGTGTGCAATGGAATGATACACCTTGTTGAATGTCTGATTGGAAGCCTGAGTCTCCAGAGGAGGGAAACAAGGTCCTGTAACAGCAAGGCTCATTGATGCTACCTTGAGGGTGCTTTGTTCTTTTTTTTCTGTGCTGGAACCTTGGGGCCATTGCTGTGAGAAGAGAAAAGTTGCTGATACCCATCAGTGCTGAGAGCTAGAAGATGGCCTCTTCCGCTCCAAAGCTGGCTTCACTGCTGTTGACTTGCCGTGAGCAGACAACACCCACAGAATGGAGAAGATGAATCTGCAGATTGCCACGCACAGATACGCATCTAGGAGAGGTGGCACCCACTGCTGATGTGGCTCCCCCATCTTTGCAGAATGGTCATGTCTTCCTAAGAAGGGGCTGTTGCCAGCCAGAGGCTACAGGGCCCTGACCCACCACGGCACAGACACAGGCCAGGCAGCTGTCCCTCCAATGAGCAAGTCAGTGGTGGAGAGGAAGAGAAACAGAGAAGTGGCCTGGTTTTGCACTATGGAGAGAAGCGGGACTAGAGATGGGATGGTGGTATGGTTCCTCCTGATTTGAGAGGTTGCACTGCCACTTGAGGCCAAGGTGATGTCTATGCCTGTGCTGCGACTGAGGGGCATGTGGTTCCATGACCTATACAGCAGCAGGGGTCTATGTTGATGTCAATGGCCATGTTAGCATCAACAGTCAAGTGCTCTGTGCTGCACCCTAAGGACATATTGATGACCCAATGCTGTGCTGAGCTGGCCCCACTTCCTCACTGACCACTCCATGGTAGCTCCAGCAGTGAGGTGAGCATGGGAGAGCTGTCCCTGCCCTTCACCTGGGCAGTTGGGGAGAACTCTTCCCTGGTGGCCCTAGTGCAGGAGAGATGGCAGGCTGATCAACTCAGCTACCACCCAGGCCCAGAACCAGGGCTTTGAGCTGGCTCACCCCAAAACCTACCCTACCCATGAGGTACTAGAATGTGTGAAGGGGATGGTCGTGAAGAACCAAACCTGCGGGATCTCCACAACTCAGAGCAACAGCAGGATGTCCAAGAGGAGTCTCAGGGTTGATGTAGCAGAAGCCAAGGGGCCTCACACCAGACCAATGACTCTTAGCAACAAATGTTTGCAAGAAAAGCTGTTTGAACAAAAGGCATATACTGTGTAACACAACTGTGCTTCCACAGATAGATTTATTATGATGATTACTATTATTATTATTTATTAGGTTCTATTTACTTTATTTTTTTCTTTAATTTTAAATTTTTGATTTTTTTATTTTCTTTGGGGAGGAGTTTACAAGGGTTGAGGGCAGACATGGAAGGACGGCCAAGTGAGTAGGATTGGGATGCCTGATGTGAAATTCATGAAGAGTCCATTTAAAATTCGGCGAAAAAGAAGTGACGGTGATAGAGCATCTCTGAGGGGAAGGGTTCTTCCGATGACACCTCGAGTCAGTCAGATCCAAATGCATCTTCAGACTGGTTGCCAGCTCCTTAGAGTCCAGCCAGTGCTCTCACTTGCCAAGAGGCCACAACATCTCACACATCTCTTTTCATTCATTGAGCAAGCTGTCAGCAGATACCTGTTTAATAGATCATGGGCTAGTCAAGATACGGGGATACAAAATATGATTGCTGTGAATGCCTACCATCAAATGATCAGACTTGCGAAAAAGAAAATTGTGTGGGTAATTAATAGATTTAACACCAAGTTTAAAAATGTGTATATGTGTGTTCATATACATATAGGTATGTATATGCAGAACACAAACTTTATGTACACACACCATGCTAGTGGTCTCAAAGGAAAGGGTAAATAAACTCTTGTGTCTTTGGGAGGAGGTGAAAATATTTGAGTGGGATTTAAATTGGTGCTGGAATTTGTCACATAGAATAGGCACAAGAGAGTATATGAGGCAGAGAGAATGTTCCAGGGCAGAGAGTCATTCAGTTGCATGGTATGATTCCTATCGCGGATGTACTGGATAAGTTTTCAGGGGATTCTCAAGGAATGCTTTCTACCTCAGAAGAGATAAGTACAAGATGGAATGCTGTTGTCCTTCCTTCCTTAAATATACTTTGGGGGAGGGAGGCTTTACAATGTAACAGTGGCAGGAGTATTAAGATCAGAACTCAGTGGCCCGAGGGTGACTGACAAGAACGACAGAAAACCTTTGGGTCTTCAATAGCATTTTTTGCTGCCATAATCCTAAAATTAAATACCTTGAAGCTTGTTGGGAGGTGGTGGCACACGCCTTTAATCCCAGCATTTGGGAGGCAGAGGCAGGCAGATCTCTGTGAGTTCCAGGACAGCCTGGTCTACACACTGAGTTCCAGGACAGGCTCCAGAGCTACAGAGAAACCCTGTATTGAAGGACCAAAACAAAAGGTATAGGGAGGTACCTGGTCTCTCCCTACAATCTTCCCACTTACCATGCCCCAAGGGGGTGTGGTCAGCTGCTGGTACCTGGTCTCTCCCTACAAAAGTAATCCCATCGAGCTTCTAGTTAAATGAGAAACTTACATAGATTTTAAAAATTATCACACACATATATGTTTGCCTGTAATTGGGTATGTACATGGGAGTGTAGGTGTCCTCAAAGCCCAGAGGTTTCTGATTCCTCTGGAGATAGAGTTACAGGAGGTTATAAGCCAGCGTGTATGAGTGCTGCGAAATGAACCCTGGTGTTCTGCAAGAGTGAACTCTAGCTGAAAGAATTGTGCTGGTTTCAGAGGATTCTGGAGGGAAGGTACTTCATGGTCTGATCGTGAAGTCACAGTCACAGGGCACTGGGGAAAACCCTGACAGAATAACTAACTCAGCCTTGGGTAATAGAGATGTTTTAATGCAACCACAGGTTCTAAAACCAAAGCAAAAGCCTTCCCTAGAGAAAGATTCCTTTCCCCTTACCTCAATTATAGAATCAAAGAATGTGGGTTTGGTTCCTTCTCTTGCAGTATTTTTCATTCTATTTTCCTTTCATGAAAACTCGATTTTCCTTATCATCATTTGTCATTAATTTATGCAAATTGTGCTAAGTCAATAAGACAAGGAAAAAATAACAGGCATACAGTTTAAGAGGAATAAAACTCTCTTATTAGCTACCATCTTGTTGTATAAAAAGAAAATCCTCAAGAGTTTATAAAGTATCAGAACACATAAGTAAATTTGAAAAACTCATTGAATATAGTGCTTATATGAAAAACTAATGGATAGTGGGATCACAGGATCATTAATGCAGCACACACTTATTGGCACAAGAATAGACTAACCACCTGACAGAATTGAAGACTCCAGAAACAAAATGGCATATGCCAGGTCATCTGATTTACTACAACAATACCACAGTAATTCAGAAGGGAGCAATAAATTTCTATATCCACAGAGCTCTTGGGTAGCTGAATGAGAAAAAATAACTCTCAGCTTTATTTCATATGCTATATAGAAATTAAGCTCAGGTGGATTATGTATCAAATATAGTAGGTAACATATCTTCTTAGAAAAAAAAGATGTAATTTCACACATTGAGATATACAGGGTGTCTTTTCTTTTTGCTTAAGTTTTTCAGTTTGATTGTGTGTGTGTGTGTGTATATGTATGGGGAGTGATGATCATGTAAATGCAGGTTCCAGGGGAGGACAGAGGTGTGGGATTTCCCTGAGGTAATTGTGAGCTACCTGATATAGATGCTGGAAATCAAATTCAGGCCTTTTCTAAGATTAGTCCATGCTCTCAACTGCTGAGCCATCTCTCCTGCCTGTAGATACAAGGTACTTCTTAAAGGACATAAAAAGTAAAAAGGTAAGTCATGGCTCCAGAGGAGGCTTTTGCCATCCTGTATGTACTTGTTGGATTAAGGATTCATACTAAGAATGCATTAAGGACTCTTAGAAATTAAGAGGATAAATAACCACTTTAAATATGACAACAAAAGCTGACATTATGTGTAGATCACTGGTCATGAAAATGGGTTATAAAACTACCGTGATTTTCTGGGTGTGGTGGCTTACTCCTATAATCCCAGGACACAAGAGGCTGGGCCTTGAAGATTGCTAAAAGGTAAAGGCCAGGAGAGACTTCATAGTGAACTCTTGCTTCAAACACCAAATCAAAATCATGTCTGGTGTTCTGGTGTGAGAAAGCTAGCCAACTACCCAGGGCTAGTGAAGTAATGGATCTTGGAAACGAACTTCCAACCATCATTTTACTAAACCAGGATAACCCTTAACTACATTCTAAGTATTTGTCCTTATATTCACCGATAAGTGTTGTCCTCACCCTGTGCCAATGACCCTTCCCTTTGTAACAGCCCTAGACCACTAGAACAACAAACACAACCACCCAAAAGACAGACTTGTGGATCCGTCTCAATGGACGCATCTATAATATAACTCTCACATTTAAGTCTTGCATTCAAGGCCCAGGAAACATCTCAGAAGAGGGGGTAGAAATAATATGAGAGCCACAGGATCAGGGAGTTTCCTCTGGGCTTTGTTTCTTGGTCATGTTAGAAGCCACACCCATAACATCTTGTCAACATGACTGCATAAACATGATCTGAACAAGGGCAGCAATAATAGACATACCAAAGTGGACAAGGGGAAGATCATGAGGCCTCAACCAGACACAGAGAGCTATAGAAATCCTAGGTGTGTTGAGAGTGCTCTTCCCCAGGGACAAGCATACCAACAACTGCTATCTAATTCAGTGACCAGCCTTAAAAACAGACACACAAGTAACATTACACAGAGTGGGGAAGTTGTACTCATGTATTTAGGTGAAAAAAATGCATATGTGACAACAATTAATGAAAAAAGATGTCATTAGTTTTAAAAAGAGAAAAGAGGGGTATATGGATGGGTTTAGAAAGAAAGGGAGGAGGAAATAATTATAAGTTCAAAAAATAAAAGAAAGAGGTTTTAACCACATATTTATAAGATTTGCTAAATTTTTTAAATGGTTGAGAGCTAGTAAATACGAAATGTAACTGGGTCTCATAACTAATTGTGCATTGTGTGTGAACTGGTTTCATTCCTTTGAAAACACCTAGAGATGGCCCATTGCAGTTAAATATTTGCCTATGTTATTACGTCGAAACTCCATTCCTGGGCATATACTGATAATAAATGTATTAAAAGTCATGGCAATATGTTCATGACTACTTTTATTTTAAAAACTTAGCTGAAAGCCTTTCAAATATTTATAAACTTGGAAAGGACAAATGATTATGGTCTATTTAAACAAACTGTCTTACTAGTTTGGATACGGATTTGAGAGGGAGCTGTAGCAGAGAAGAGCTTGCCAGCAGTGAATGCTCATCCAGGCTGCTTTTGTGATTCAATTCTGCTTATACCTGACTCTAGGCTGAGCCTGTGGCCCTGAGGATCTCTGAGTCTTTACAGAGACAAGAAGTGACTGAAATAACAGCAAAAATTAATCATATCTATCATGAGTGACACTATCAAAATTAGATGAAATCAGCCACCACAATTAGGAAATATTTCGGTTAACACTTTTCTCCAAGGGAAGGCAGAGTGAGATAGGGACAAGTGAAATGGTTAGTGGTGGTACCCTTGTAACTTTGCTTAAAGTCTTAGTGAGAGCAGTCAGGAAATACTGATTATGAGCACTGTGCAAATCCTTGCAATCTGAGTCATGCGTGTGTGCTTAAACAACGTCTAAGGACCCAACTATGAAAAGTGTCCATATACAGACCTTCTATTAGGGAAAATTATGTTCTGTGATGCCTTCACAATTTATAATAATGTTACACCAGGGAATGGGAATTTTTTAAAGGCCAGACAAACTCTCAGTCTCAAGTTCCAGGAATAGTTATTTTCAAAGAAAAAGTAGAGGAGGAGGAAGGAATAGGAGGAGGAGGAGGAATAGGAGGAGGAGGAAAGGCTGATGAATATTTTATAAATATTTTGTCTTCTTCTAATGCCATCCAATAAATCTCCATTCACACTTTTATGTAGATCATGCCTTCTGAAGACCACATACCCTATATCAAGGATTGTAATGCAAGTGCATCTCCATTTTGCCACTCACTTGATGGAGGGAGCACCTCCATACAAAAGTAATAGAAAGAGATTAAAAGGGGGGACACAAGCAGCTATAGCCAGCAGGACCTCCTGTTTCTTTCAAAAAACGAAAAATCTACTTATACGTATATGGACGTCTAGATATTTTGAGTCTATTTCCCAATCCACAAGAGGAAAAGACATATCACTAAGTGCATAGAGAATTCCATAGGTGTCTATTTGGTCTTATACATGTACATATAGATGGGTTTCCTAATGTTTGGCATGCAAGGATGCAGATATGTATGTGTGTGCGTTTATAGGAAGGCATCCCAGACTTTACCTTACTCTAAAAGCTAAGTAGTATCAAAGTATGAGTCAGAAAGTATAAGGGTTAACCACTTCATGAATAAGGAATTCATTCAAAAGACTGGTTTATAACCGGTGAGAGGAAGTTTTGAACAATTTCTCGTAAAGTTACAATAGCCCAAACTGCAAAGGAAACCCTGCCTAGCTTGGAATTCCAGAGTGTTTTCTAGAGTTTGAAAGGTGGCCAAAA